CATAGCTAACACCGCTCGTTTTAAATAATCTCCAAATTCCATGGTGCTACCAAAAACTTACACTTCGCGCTTACTCCTATGACTCTCGCTTTTACGTGTGATATCTCAAAAGACTGTGGTCTCTCTCTCTCTTCTCCATATGTTTTCTTCCGCGTCATCTTTACAGTAACGATATAAACTGGAGATTTCTTACTCATGTATTAAGTAAACTATGAACATGTAATATGACAATTGTCTCGATTTGTTCTGTATCTCACTGAAATAAAAAAGTTTATATAAAAAAAATAAAGTGAAATTTCATAGAATTCACTTTTAGGTAGGATAATAATATACATGTATACTATACATCATCAAACACTCTCGGAATAGGTAAAGTGAGATAAGAGTCAGGAAATTCAAATGAATTTCCTCACGTTACCTCACATTGTTATAGTAGACAAGATCAGGAAACGTTATAAAATGTACAATTCAAATCCACTGACTATGATATATTATAGTTATATTTTCATTTCACCTCAAAGGAGGTTTTATACGTGTATTTAGATATCGTACTACGACTCTTCCACAAGCGGTATTTCCGCGAACCGAAACTTTCGCAAGTTTTTTGAGAATAGAAATCTAAGCATTTTTCCAACATAGACACGCTTGCAGAGCTATTTGAGAGTATGTGTACTGGTGAGGATGTTTCTTTCGCAAAACATGTTTTATTGTACAAATATTTTATTAAGGGTTTCACGATTTTTCCGTAACATTGCTATTAATCTTTCTTTCTTGAACATAATTAATAGCATAAAATCTTTTTGAATGTACTACATAATATTCGGTGATAGAAATAGTTACAGTTTTGCAGTTTACTGCAAAGCTAAGTTCATGTATTCGAATCTGTATTAGTACAAACTTGATTTTGTGTTTTTCGATAATTTTGTTTAGAATATTATAAGTGAATATTTTTTCCGCTTGTATTCTGACAGAATAAAGTTTATATCAAATAGTTACACATTATAGTTAATTGTGTGCGAAGACCGTCCGTAGCGAGACTTGAATTTTGTTTCGCATTTGCAACGAGTACATGGCACGTTCCTATTTCCTGAAAATTCAAAAGTTTCACATTGTATGGTATCAGAAACTACCTGTTATAAACTATTTTCCGAGGAAAAAATTGAGGAATCACTTGACGAGATTCTGTCATAAAACAAATAAAAATATTTTATATGACTGTGGACTCACAGTTGAAGGAAATTCTATAATATTCATACAGCTAAACGACGCAAATCCAAATTCTAGATCTATCATGTTTTGCATAAGAAGTCAGTTCAGGATCGGACGGATCCGATGTGAAAACCTATGGACCATCCTAAACCTTAGCAATGTTGTGACCAAAATTAAAGATAACTTCAGGGAAAAGAAAACTAAGTCCTTCGTTCGTCAACCAATTTTTAACATATTCGAATTCGTGCATAAGATAAAGAAAAACGCGTTAAAACTGAATTTGAATATTAGCCTACGTTAAAGCGTTACTGACTAGGTATCAAATGAGACGGTAATCTATTATTTATACATTAATAAAACCAAAAAACTCTTATAAAAAATCACAAAAAGTCGAAGATTAAATAATGTAAAAAGGAAAAGAAAGAACGACAAAATACGTGCTGCATCTTATATTCTGCACTTATATTCTAGGGCTAATAAACATTTCACACAGACTTGGAATGGGTCGGCCGGTTGGATTATTTGGTAAATGACCGGCACTTCCAGCAATATCCAAATGAGAATAACGTAACGGTTGATCAGAATCAATGCCATGCTGAAAAACAAAACACGATATGTAACAGATAATGCTCTGTCTAGAAAGGAAAGATAAGAAACATACTTTATCTAAACCAGAGACACGTATAAGAAATGCCGCCGGAAATTGATGCCCACGTGATGTAGCACTACTCGCTGCATTATTGCACTGTAGAATATCGGCTACTTCACCTTTATCTTTAATAAAATCATAATCCTGTTAAACAAAAACATACAGATGAAGTATAATGGTCTTTAGTAGGTATAACTTACTTCTCTTCTTATTGTTGATATTTCAAATGGATCGCCAATTAAATCGCCCACTTGTTGAAATTTTTGACTCATATTATCACGTTTAGCTGGACCATTATCCAGAATAGCCTAAGAAACAAATAAAACTAATAACATCATCAGCAGAAATGAGAAAATAGAAATAACCCTTACTGTATAATTTGGGCCATAAGCTCGTACAATATGACCAGTTAATGTTGCTATTGTGAAAAGGTAAGGATTTGTTTCTTTTAATGCCTGAATAAATTAGTTATCAGAACTACATAGTAAATAATGAAAAATACACTCACTAGCTCTTTGATATAACATAATGTATCGGCCATTACCATCCGACCTTAGAGAATATCAGAATGACATGGTAACGAACAATTAATAGGAACTGGCAGATATTTCTTACCTTCCGCATCCGTATTCCCAACACGTATTCTTGCTCCACCTCGTGTTGTTATAATTTCATCAGAAACAAATCCCTCTGATAATAACGAACTTAATTTATCATTCGTTTTTCCAAAGGAAGTTTTTTATTTACCTTCACCACAATTATTTCTTGTAACAGCCAAAACACCAATAGCTTTAAAACCTTTTGGTTTTAATTCAGCAAGAACTTTGAAAAAGCCAGCCACTGCAGCCGCACCACATTTATCGTAGGACATTCCAACCTGATAATTAAAAAAATAGAACGTATAAACGGAAAAGCTTCGCTGAATATACTTACCATAATACCACCCGCTTTAATGTCAAGTCCACCTGTATCATATGTAATACCCTTGAAGAATAAAATCATGTTAGAAATACGATTATTGAACATTCAACGATATCTACTTTTCCAACTAACAAAACCGTTGAATCGACTGTGCCTTCACCTGTATATTCAAGAATAATTATACGACCATTATGGCGATCAACGACTATGAAGGAACGGAAAGAAACATTTATTTCAAACATAAACTAGTTCTCTGTACTAGAGTACTTACTACTAGCAGCACGATTAACAGCAGCAAAACACGGAAACTCTTTCTCAAACTCATTCTTATCTTTGATAATTTTAACCTAAAAGAAAAGACTATGAAAATATCTGCATCGGATGACAAACTATCATCACTCACTTTAACTGTTGTATGTGCAAATGTTTTCTCAACATAATCGGCTAATTTGGGTGGTGCCATTCGCTCTGGATCTCCACCACCAATATCTCTTGCCACACATCGACCTAATTCAATAGCATTCGCGTATCTCACAGTTTTCTCCTCGTCGTTATTGTCACAACACCAAAAACCTAAACGTTCAATTTTTTGTTCACGATCACTAATATCTTCACGGATTTGTAACGGCTAGAAGAGCAGTAGTGACAGAAAAAAATAAGAATGAAAAGAATGGTATGTCCATACCACATAGGTTGTTTCTAATGCCGATAATAATGTGACTAATTTTGCTTTTGGGAATGTTGAACAAAAACACGCTAATAACGGACGTTTGGAACCGATTGATAAAGCTCTAAAAAATAATCCAGAAATATTATAACTTTGTACAAATGACAATATGATCATTCAATATGTTTATTCACTTTTTGATTCCACACGCTGTTGCATCAGCAAATTTTCTAACATCATCATAATCACGTATTAATGAACCAGTAGGTGAATAAATCTAAAAAACATACATTTTAGTACAACTATACATAGTAACATCAAACAATTTACAAGACGTTTTCCTGGCACATTGTTGCTAATAGCAAATGTTACTTCACTATCGAAACTTTTGTTCAACTCAAAAGAGAAAAAAAAAGATTAGTGAAGCGATAGTCGTCTGTATACTGTCTTTATCCTACTTCACTAAATTGTTTCAGTACTGTAGCTATATTTGTGTCGTATTTTTCTAATTGTCCTAAATTTGATGCTACGATTACTAAGGAATCATAAGACGATACGTCCGATGTCAAATTTTTAACAGTTATTATTTCACTACTAAAATAGGAAAAAAAATGTGACATGACATTAATGAACAGTTGTTAAGCACTTTACTTACAACATACGACGAGACATAATCAGACCCATACGAGTTATAATAGAATAAGAAGAAATTTTTGTAGAAAACATTATTCTGAAAAATAGTTTCAAACAAAATCGATCATACTCACACGACTGATTGTGCCATGGATACTATTTCAATTGTTAAAATACCTTCAAAGGAAAAAACACTTCACTTAGGAAAACTCTGTTCCCAATAAATAGTTTATATAAATAGTTTATATAAATCGTCTTTTGACCTGTTATACTGTATGATTCATGCGTACTTATATTGATACTTGATGACAAATCGAACAATATCCTCTGACTGAGTAACTTATACTTTAAAAAAAGCATAAGAGCAGACATTTTTCTGTTTAACCCTTTACCCCACAACAGTTCCAGAGGATCCACTGATCAAATAACTACTGGAATAGAGTATTGGTGACTCCAATATGGCAATAGTATGGACAGATCGATCAGGCGCACGCTCGTTTGTGCAGAGTAGTTTGGTCACTCCAGTGACCATTGCGGGGGAATGACTTGAAAAAGTCCTGTTTTGGGCTTTTCGTAAATTTGATATAGTTCGACCAAAAAACATCGTAGAGAGCTCGAGTACATTTCATTTTATAGAGAATTGTTTGCTCTATCATTCTACG